TGGTGTTAAGCAAAATTCCTTATGACTCCCATCATCATCTTCCTTTTTTTTTTTTTCTCCTTTTTTTTTTTTTTTTTTTTTTTCTTCATCTTTCTTTCTTTATTTGCTTTTGGCCCAGTGCAGGTAGCAAAAGCAACATGTCTGAACCTGTTTCCTCATCTGTTCTCTTGGCTGCCCACTTTCTTCTCCCCCAGTTCAGGGAAAGTGAGGAAGAATGGTTTGGCTGTGCCCAGCAGCACTGCAGGTGTCTGTCCCTCAGAAAGAGTCCCAGTGGTGTGGGCGTGCTGGAAAGAAAAATCCCCAGTGACTTCACCCAGCTTGGCTTGTGGTGGTTACTCACAATGAGGTCATTTTTTTTTTTTTTTTTTTTTTTTTTTTTTTTTTTTTTTTAGCTCTGCATGTTTAATGCTACATCCGGGTTTTTGCATATGAGTGAAACTGCAGCTCTGGGACTGATTCAGGGAGTTTTCTCTGAAGAGTAGTTTTGGTGAGTAAACACAGATAAGAGGAAGCTGGGTTAATCCAATAACTCCTCCCTCAAGGGCAGGTGCAGCAACGTGGCTCAAGGTACAGAACAGAGGAAATGCCTTGTTGACACAGGTGATCAGAGCAAAGTGGCCAAAATTGATATAATGATATTAGTTTGCAAGGCAAAGCCCTGCTTTCTCAAGGCTGCTGCTTTCAGTTCTCTGTAGCTTGTCTCTGTTCTTTAACCTCCACTTGGTCCGGTGTCTTGCCGTGGGTGATTTTCCAGCTCCTCTTCACCATCTCTCAGTAGCTGCATCAGTTCAGTGCAGCTTGGACTGTGCTGTGTTCACCTATAAGGATTATTAAAATAAACTTTGAGTCATATTAGAGCTGTATGTGGGATAAGATGGTTATCAAGGTTTATTTTTTCTTATAATTAGGTCTCTTAAACATTGCCTCATTAGACATCTTCTGTGACTGTTGGAAAAGTCCTCGGGGGGCTAGTGGTTGTTTTCAAGGGAAGTTCAGATGATAAATAACATACAGAAACTTGCCGCTCTGTGAAGAGGTTTTTATTAATGATAGTTAACCAGGCATTTTTCTTAAATACTTGATTCTTGTCCTGAATTCTCTCCAGACTTTTCACTGTTATTACAGCTCTGGTAACCTACAGCAAGTAAGAACATAACTTTACAACTGCCTATTCACACATGGGAGATGGGGGAACTGCATTAAGAGCCCATCAGATAGGAGGCTGAGAGGATGCTTAGGTATGAATGAAGCCACTTCCAAGTTTGGCAAGCCGGAGTGCCTTGGCCTGGCCTGAACTCTTATTCTTACCAGCACTACTGGATTTGCAATGGCTGTAAGCAACTCCTTTCCATCATGCCCTTGACTGTTTAACACACAGGGTTTCAGGCCCATCTTTGTCTCCCAACTCTTTCCCTACTCTTTCCATGCTTAAGGGGCTGCATAGACACCATATATTTTACGTTGTTCTGTAAGCTTGAGCTTTTGCTGTTGCCTGTCCCCTGTCCTCACATAATGGGCCCTGGCTCACTTCCATTTCTCAATACCTCTATCTGATAAGTCCAGTGCTGCTTAGATATCTCTGGGAGGCGTCAGAAAATATGTTAGGAGACTACTACTTTCTTCAGTCATGTTTTCTTCTAACCTCAATCAGGAAATCTTGCTCTTCATATTCTGCTTCTTCAGTGGTCACCATGGTCCTCTCCTTCTCTGCCCTCACTTCTGCTTCAAAAACAGGAATAGCTGGCTTGCTGCTCCCACTCAGAGCTCGTGGTCCACTGGGTGTGTGGGACACCACATGTGAAGCAGGAACTGTTCTGATATAAAAAAAAAAAAAAAAAAAAAGGATGTTGCTAGTCCTCTGAGGCTTACCTCTGCTTTTCTGCTTGCCACTGTCTACTTATCTTTAACTGCCACAAGTTTTAGGTGAGGTGGTTAGATAGAGCTAACTGCACAATGCAGTCTTTCCAGTGATTGTTTTAATAGTCAAATGTTGCAAAGTTTTTTCCACGAGTTTCTTAATTATTATTTTTTCTCTAATATTTTTCTTGCTAATAGTGGGATATCTGAGGAGGTATTTTAGAAAATTGGTGAATCCAGAATACTCACAAATTTTGTGCTTACAAAAAATGCTCACAAATGCCTTTTTTTTTTTTTCCTGCAAAGTTGTGCCAAAGGTATATATATTATTTAATATTTGTCAGTATTCTCTTCAATTCAAGAGTTCTGGCCATATAGACTGGGACAAGGAGGAAAAAAGCATGGTATAACTGATCAGTGAGTAGTGAACAGAGACCATGAGGCTGGGACTTGTTTCTGTGCATGATTTGATGGATTGATCCATGATTAATCTGCAAACAGGAAGAAAAAGGGGATAATTAACAACAAACATGAAATTTGGAATGAATAAATTGACTAGTTGAAGCCACAGATTAGCTGTATTTTCAGATTCAGAGACTATTTGGAAAGGTTAAAGCTAGGAGGAGTTCTGGAATAGACTGCATCAGCAAACTGGTACATTATTTACTCTGGCAAGGTTTTCAGTGGTAGGGAAAGCTATTCCAGGAGGTGTTAGTCTGGGCATGGTCAGCACTGGCTCAGAGTTTGTATAAAATGCAGATTCAGGAGATTATTGGGCATAGAAGCAGACTTTAAGAATTTTAAGGCACCTCAGAATGTCAGTGCATTTGATTATTCGATCTGCTGAGACATTCTGTTCTCCTCTCTGGAAAAGAGGAATTGGCCTGTGCTGTGGAATGACTAACAAATTGTCCCTGAGGAGTGGCGAGTTAGGTAGGAAAATGTTATTTACCTTAAAAAAAAAGGGGGGGGGGGGGATTTACGCATATTCAAGATACTAATAATAAACCATCAGTGGAGTTCTGCTGTCTGCCCATAACTGTGGTCATCTCTTCTCCACAATGTGACTGAGTGTTAGCATTTGTCATTTCACCCAAACTACTCATGCACTAAAACTAACAATTTGGCCATCAGAGCTCTCCTGGGAGGTTTGGACGTGAATCATGGAAGAGGTTTTGGGCCCATGCCACAAGTCATGGGAATTGTGGAAGGAAATTATTATATGCTAGATTTGTTTTATAGTAAACCACATACTGTCCTAGAATTAGGCCTCTACTTTACATTCTCAGGAGCCAAACTGAGGAGTCCTAACTTGGATGAAATTCTTCTTGCAATTGGAAAGCTTGGCTGTCCCAGTCATAATCTAGGCTTTCACTTGGCATCTTTTTTTTTTTTTATATATATTTTTTTTTCTTTCTCGTATATTCTTTCTCTTCAGCTTCAAGCTTGTTATTTCACAAGGAAAAGCTGCCTTGATTCTTTGAGTGTCTGGTTAGTACTTCTCTTTTAGTACTTATTTCTCTTATCTTTCATATAATTGAAGATACTTGGCTGAGTATCCTTGCTTCACGTTTTGGCCCATACATTTCCCCTGCTGTTAATGCCCTGTGATAGAAGCAGGAGGATCCTAAAGTCTCACAGGCAAGGGTTTTGAACATGTTTCTGGAGATAGTAAATACCTGGGGTAAGCCCCACACTGTATGTGGTTGTTCATGATTTGCTGTAGGTTCTGTCTGTCCGTGCCCTCACTTACTTGACACAGACAAGAATTAAGGACATTTCTAAAACAAAAAAGGAAACTGTGGGAAACTGTGGAGTCTGTGATGGCAGTGGCATATAGTAAGTCTTATTGATATACGTCCTGAAATGGGAAGATAATTTCAATATTCCGATTAAAAAAAATAAAAAATTGACAATAAGAATTAGACAGTTGTTTCCTTCACTATACTCGTGAGCAATGGAATGGTTCCTTACTGTAATGCAACCGGCATCGTTTTTATTTTGGAACAGTGTATTTATTCTCCTGGTCTTAGACATGACAACATTCATTTAAGGCTAGTTTTTCATATGCATTCCCCTAGGAGCTGAGGTCATGTAGTCACACAGATAAACCAGCTGAAGAGCCAGTGAACTCAGCTGCAGCAGAACCCATTTGCTATGTGATTGTCCACTCTAAGTAGCTTACTGGTGGAAAAAGTAGACTGACAAACCTTGCGCATTCATTTTCAAACTGCTGTAATTTTACGAGCATGCCTTAAAAATTAAACAAATACCCTTCCCTCTTCCTCCTCCTCCTCCTCCCCCCCCCCAAAAAAAAACCCAAAACCCACCACAACCAAAAATATCTCCCACCCAGAAGAAAAAATCTTCCACTACTCAGAAAGGAGATTGAATATTTCAGGGAGATACTAGGTTAATTTTGCCCAAAATGTATTGTTTGCAATATCTCAGGTACCTTCTGTAGGAAATTAAAATAGTTTGCGGGAAGAACTCTTAAGCCAGCGTTGTAGAATCAACATGGCATATATTTCTTTGTAGAACTTGCTTATATATATATATATGTAATTAAAAGGGGAATACAATTAAGCTGAAATTATCTAGGACTACATGCATTCACCATAGGAAGTGATATCTTGGGCTTAACAAAAAACAATCTGTCATGCTCATCCAAAAGGTATTTTGGGATATGTACTGAGCTTAGAAAAGCTAATTCTCTATTTGAAAAGAATAAAAGATACTATTTTGGATTTTATTCTTTGCAAAAGCACAGCTGAATGGTAAAACCAAGTTTTTCCATGCAGATATATTAGACAGAATTCATACTCCACCAAATGAGACCTTTACGCTTCCACCTGCATATTATGGCTCTAATAAACACGTTATCAGCTCATGAAAATGATGGCAAACAGGTGACTCGAGGATTTGATAAGTCAGCAGCAAAGATTAACAGATTTTTCTCAGGGAAAAGCTATGAGAGATTCCCTTATTTAAAACAATTGCAGCATGTGAATTTACTGCACTTAAATCATTACTGGCAATTAGTATGTGTCAGAAAGGTTGCAGCTGGCTCCAATTACAGGTAGGGCTTTTAGAAGCTGAACTTAATTGTATGTGTGATAGTGAGAGGCTGAGCAATGCATACCAGCATAATGGTACTCCTGGTGCAGAAAGGAGGGCAAGATGTTATGATCTGGGACCTGATTATTTTAACTAGGCCTGGTCCCTGCCTCCTGGGAAATAGACGTTGTAGGAGAAAATTGCTGGCAATGCAGCCGTTCACCTTACTGAGCTTCTTTGGGTGGGGAGGAACTTAGAAACTATGCAATATATGCAATACTTCCCCTCCTTTTTGCCTCTGTAGTAGGTTTGCACAATTTAAGGTCTTACAAGTTATATCCAGACCTGGCATTAATTCATCCCGCTCAAGACCTGCTGCCTCGAAGTCCCTGGAGCTGTAAGGCAGGGAGTGATTTGCAGGCTGCCTATTTATTTATTTTTTTGGTGGGACACTCCTTCTTGTCCAATTGTCACGTGTGATGGCTTCTCTTGTATGAATGTTGGACTCTGTGATGTGAGGGCTCATGAACTTGGAACCACATGCTTGGGATGCTTCTACTCTAGTCACGTATTAGGATCACTCTCAGTTGTGTGATGGACACACCTCCAACCCAGTCATGGGCTGAGGTGACTCTTGTCATTGCAGTTTCCTCTCTGGTTGTGTGGGTTTCTTGTCACGCAACAAAACAGAGATATTTTGAACAAAAGAGTAGGATGTGCTTGATCATATAGTAGGAATGGGGATCACAGTATGTTGGCTGCCTTTCCATAACTCTATAAGATGTAATGTGATCTGTCTTGCTGGGGAAATTTATCTTTAGTGCTCTTAAAGTTCTAGTTATATCAGAGATTAGCATCTCATGATCTGTGTTGCTCCAGCTAACTCCTGTGTCCTGTTAGCAGGAGTCTTATAGTATGAAGGATAAGTATTAATATTCCCTTCTAAGGGTTTCAGTGCTGCATGTGAATATGGTGTGTTGCTGTGTCAAGATGATGCCCTCAGGTGGATCCTAAGCTTACTGCTGGCTTACAGAGGACCTTGCATGTGTTTAGTAGAAGAAGGGAGAGTGCAGAAGACATGCTACCATATTTTCCCTTCCACTTCCTCTCTAGTTCCTCCACCATTGTGTGCTACTACTTCAGCTCAACTTACTCTTGAGTTGTAGTATGACTATATTTGTGTCTCCTTGCCCATTAGCCAGCAAATAATGCTGTGTGGGCATGAGGCAGGCATTCTGCAGTGTGCTTGTACTTGGGCTGATGCATGGAGTGCAAGCATCCTATTGATTCTTTGTATTGCTCATAAACCCATGTATGATCAGCAGGACATCTACCATGAAACTCATTTAGAGCTGCTATTTTGGGAAAGCAGGGTGAAGTTTCATATACCATGTGCTAATGTGCAAAGGATGCCATGCTTGTAAAACCAAACCAAAACTTAGCTGGAGAAGCATTAAGCATTCCAGCAGTGCACACAGACCAACTTTCCAGTAATTCCTCTGAAGTCTTCCTTCTTACAACTTTTCTGCTTAGATCCAAGTTCCATAAATGTTGCTATAATGTTGATAATCTGTTTTAAATCCCTAGCTCCTTCTCTGGGATTTAAAGATGGTGGTGATAATAAAGTAACAACTGGGGCCTGGGAAAAGGGAATTCGTGATTTGCAAACTATTCCTATATTAAAGCACTGCTCTTTTTATTTGCAGTAATAGAGGTGCTTGCTGCTGTGTGGTCAGCTAGGGCAGTTATTTGGAAATGGTGTTAGTTTGTTGTGTGAGGCTTGTGAACACATAAACACTGCTGTATCTTTCCTTGTGATTTGTTTGATAGAAGCACAACCATTTGAAACACAAACATATGCTGCCTCTACAAGACATGATCTGTCATAAGTCCAGAAACAGATCTGTTCTGTCCCACATATTGCAGTTCAGAGTATCCTTGGTGCTTTGGGGACTATGGCTGGAGTTCCTACACAGGAACACCACATTGCAAATTCATAGTTTTAATTCTATAATAGTCATTTAGGTTGGAAAAGGCCTTTAAGATCATCAAGTCCAACGAATGGCCCACCTAATGTCAGATCAGCTGGACTGTTCACTGTTTGTTGCTGTGAGCTCATGAGCATGGATGTGCCAGCACAGGAGACAGGGGTCCAAGAGAAGCTATGAGTATGTTAAAGCAGCATGTTAAAACACCTCTTTCCCAGCTTTATCTTGGTGTCTCAAGCTAGAGGTCTGTAGTATGTGCATCTCGGAGAGCTGTGAGTTTCCTCAGCCTTCCTGGGGTAGGTTCATTGTGGCCAGCTCCATGTAGTTCCTGCAGCTCTCTCTGCACACCAGAACTACACAGCTCCTTTTATTTATTTATTTTTAAATGAAGGCAGAGATGCTTGTCTTGTAAAGTAATTTCTGGGATGATTTCGTCTTCTAAGAATTAAAGCATTGCTGTTCTTAAAGCAAATTTAAACAAATGCAATGCTGCTCTTAATGGAAACTGCCATGGGGTGTACATGAAAGTTTGTCATGAGAAAACCAGGCTGCTAATGGGCTGTCCCAGGTCTTGCTAGCCACATCTTCTCTTTGAGGATTCCAAGAACTGTACAGATGTCTTTTAATTATACTTCCACAGCTGAATACCCTGCCTATTTTGTAGGAACAACCTTTATCATAGACAATTCACTGTGAAGGATGGAGGTTGCAAATAGATTCCTCTCCCTGAGTGTATTTATTTCATGGAAAGAGGTTCTGGGGGAATAAAATTCTGGGGAAATAAATCCAACTTCACACATGGGAAATATTCTTTCATGTGGAGGACTCCAGCAATTTGTTCTGCTCTTCTGCAACTCATGCATTAGAAGAACTTAGGAACGGTATACAAGAGACTTAGAGCATTGCAGTGCTAAATAAGGAAACTCCTTGTCTTCCTTTAGCGTTTAATCTTCCTTCAATGTTTCTGTTTTTCATTGGTCGTTATATTCATATCACTTAACAGCATTGACTATACAGATCTATTCAGTGAGAGGTCTGGGAGGAGGACTTTTGTGGTCCTGGTAGCTGCTATGACTTTGTGTCCTTGCACGGCATTTTAACTTTCAGGGTTTCTATATGCTATGCCATGACACAGCTATAGGTGTAACAACATAGAGAGGTGTAATGGCATATCAGAATTGCAGGTGTGTAAAATTACCTATAAGTTCCTCAAAGAAAGGCACTCTCTAATGTAAATTATTATGATTATTGCCCTCAATTTCAATCCTTTTATGGCTCTGGACAATGTATAATAACAATGAGAGCTTTTCTTTGCATCAATCCTAGCTCTGTGAAGCTACTCTGAGCTACTCTACAGAGCCAAAGCTCCTTATGTGTCCCTTCTTCCTTTCCCTTGCCCACCCCTGCCTGAGACTGCCTAAAACTTACTTCTAACAGTTTGCAGCACACCTGTGATTGTAGATTGCGTGTGAAAAGAAAAGACTTTAAAACATGACTTGGTTGGACTTCAATCCTTTTTGGAAAATGGGACCACTGCTGACAAGGCCCTAGGATCCTAGGGTTCTGGGAACAACCTTGGCTATTGCAAAACCTGTGATGAAAATGGGAAGATAGAAATACTCAGGTCACTCTTTGTGTGTGTCCATCAATGATGGCAGCAACTGAAATGATTCTTCCTTGCAAGGAAGGCTCCTTGTACTTATGTTTTCTTTTTAAGAACCCACAGTCTTTTTCTCCTCCATGCCTCAAGCAGAAGTAGCATGGGGTGACCCTAATTGCCCAGGTGGTGTTTTGAACACCATGGGATATGTCTTTCTTCCTGAAAACTGTTGAGCGAAAAAGTAGTTTCTTTCTTTCCCAAGTTTGTTGTCCCCCCGTGTGGGACATGGTCCTGATTTTGTTTCCTCCACTGCCATTCTCATCCCCCATGTTTCCTTTACAATGTCTTCTCTGTGTTTGGGCATCAATAGCTCGGCTTCACCCTCCTCAGGGCTCCAACTGGTGGGGATTTGCCTTAACAGCCAGTCCTTTCGCAGCAGGGCTTTTTCTAAGACCTCTCGCTCCCCTGGGAGCAGCTGTCAGCCCACACAGCTTGTCCTGAACAAGGGAATATTTGAAGGTTTTACTTAACTCACTTTCACATTTTTTCACAGATTAGTATTTTTTTAAACCCCGTTATGTTGTTTTAATTGAGTCTTGCCACCAAAACAAATGAACATTGTGTCACCACATCTCAGTTCCTTTCATACAACCACAGCTAAGAGAATTGGGAGGCTGTGCTACCTGCAGAAATGTTGAAACCAATGCTATGTATAATCTTGATGGATTACATTCAAGCTACTCTGTACATAAATCTGGTCACACCAGAACAAGAACCGTGGAAAGTATATAACATTAATGTATACTCATTACATTCCTCCTTTCACAGCCTCCAAGCCTGTCAGGCAAGCAGGGGGGTGGGGGACTACAAGTAATGAGGAGTTAGGTTTAAACATTTTACTTAAAATCATTGCAGCTCTTCATCAAACAGGGAGTGCACTTTAAAAAAAACACACATAGTGCTTCTGTCATGTACAATGGGTGCTAAGAAGTAATGAGTTCTACATTTGTTTTCATCAGTTGCAAAGAAGCTGTTCTCATTTTGTAACTTTCTGGAAGAAGGCAAGATTAAAAAAATACCTTGCAAACTCTATTTAAAATTTATAGTACAGCTTCTACTCCCTCTGAAACCAAAGACAAATTTCCTACTGATTTTATCAGGAGCAATATAAAGTTCTAAAAAGATAAGTGTTATTCTTTCTACTTCATGTAGAAATATGTCACTCAGTTCCTCCCAGGATGGTACTGGCTCTATCTCTACAAGTGTTTACTACAGACTGAATTTGGCCCTGCAGTTAACATTTTTTTTCATTTGATTCACAGAACCTCTTCTCAAAAAGAAGGTCCATGTGGCCCGCAAAGTCTGCACGAAGCAGCCATGCAAGGTAGGCTATCTCCTTCCATGACTATGGGGTGGCTAGACCAGGAGATCTGTACATGGAGTGACACTTTCAATCTGCTGTGCCTCATGTTGGCACTTTCATACTTCTCAACATTCAAAGCCCCTGAGCGCCTTTTTCCAGGAGAGTAAGTGTGGATTTAATCATCTAACTGAAGTCCCAAATTTGAAACTTTTGCTGAGAAGCCTGGCTGTTTCAGGAGGACAATGCCATGTTATGTCACACATTTTTGGAGGAGAGTGGCACATTAACAGCCAGCTCAAAAGGAGGGAATTTCCTTTCCAGGCAGAATGAACAGGCAGGTCTGTTGCTGATCACCAAGTCTGTGGTTTATTTAACTGCCTTTTTTTTTTTTTCTTTTTTTTTTTTTTTCTTTCTGTTCCTTCAGGCCCTAGCTGGTGATAGGGTTACCAGGCTCCATTGTCAGCAGTGTACTGATGACACTAGAGTTTATATCTTATTTCCTACAGCTGCAAACACTGCCAGCACTAAGATTTCACAATGCCTGGGACACCAGCACTGGGATGAAGTAGAGTAGCTTCTAACTGAATTCAGGTGGTGTGAGAGGCTGCAAGGCGGGTGGCTTTCTGGATAAGGGGAAACCACCCATCAGAGTTCTGCCCTAATGCCTCTCATCTCCAAAGACCCCTGGCCTTGCTGGGCTTACTGTTGGCTTCGTATGCCCTGATATTCCTCCTTTTCAACCCTAGATTTTACTTGGCATCTTTCACTTGGGTGTGAGTTGGCATGATGATTCATTCATCTGTTACCTTCAGACTGAATTACTGCAATGGAGGATGAAGATGGGGCAAGCCAGATATTCAGTTTATGCAAATATCACACTTTTGTATCCTTGGGAAAATGATGCACTATCACCCCAAGCCTTGACCTTCCTTCTTGTTCCTGGGCTGTCTCTGTGGTTTTGCTCATCAGAGCCATGTGTTAGTCACTACCATCCCTGGTTTGCTATGGCCAAGCCTGCAAGGCCAGATCCTGCTCACAAAAGCTACTCTTTAGTCACCTTTGTCCTGTGATTCACATGCCTGCATTGGCATGCAGTTATGTTCCTTCCTCTGTGCTTAGCCATGGTTTGCCAGTTGGCATGCTGTTGTTACGCTAATAGTAGACACAAGGTCCCTCCATGCTCCCCATTGCTCTGTTGGGGTTGTTTTGAGAAATTCTAGCCACCCTTCACTTTAGCTAAAGCCAAGGGCACCACTGCATGCAAGTAAAGAGAATTTCATAGTCCCTTATAGACCTCCATATATAGAAATAAATAATACTTGTACTTATAATCATGGAACGTTCTGGCATATTTATAAGCATCATCTGTTACGTTCCTTGACATTCAAGTTTTGTCTCCAATCAATAATAAGTATTTTCTTTGAGACATTGAAGGTCTGTGCTTTCTGGTCTCTCAGTGATTCACTTCTCTGGGTTCCTAAGAAGCTGGTTTGCTCAAGGTGTTGTAGCTGTTGTTATCCTTGAGAGTAACACACAGGTCACAGCTGATAGAGATAACAGAGCAGACACTGTTAAAAAACAAACAATCAAACCAACCCCTCTGTTCTAAAACCTGATGTTGTTAATAGTCCTTGATCTTCACTGGATAATTGCAAACTTGACCGTGTGCTTCAAGGGTAGACTCCTTGTATTTGCAGTTTTAACTAACAGGCATCCATGCTGTGGGATGCATGTTGAGGTAGTGTTAGGATCAGAATTCCTGAACCGTGTTATAATCCAGCCTGGCATCACCTCTGAGATTACCCAGTCAGCATCAGACTCCCTCAGATCAGGTGGCTGTTGAAGCTCAAGTTGGCAGTCACAGAAAACAAGAAGAATTTGAAATTGTGGGATCAGTGTTGGTGACATGACTGTCTCGAATGATCATAGTTATGTCAGTGATTTGCTGAATTCTTATCCTTCTTTTTAAAAATGGGCCTATATATAAATACTATTTTTGAGTTCTTCTGGTTCTTTACAGTAACTGTATTCATTTTGATTCTACAAAGCTAAATCAGGATGGGTTAACCCAGAAATCACAGCAACATAATTAATACAAGGCAAATAGATGTCACGTTACAAGATAATATGGGCAGAACCAGCTCTATTAAATGTGGGGGCTGCATTCTCACAGAGCCTGTGTCACATCCCATTGAGTGAATACTGCTGTATGCCCAAGGTGGGGAGAGAAAAAAGTCCCCTGTAAAACTACATTAGTAGGATTGACTGTATTTATTATGTGCTTGTAGGAAGAATGATGTAAAGAAAGAGAGAGGTTATAAACACAGAGAAATGCATACATTTGTTTTCAACACAGCATGCTATGTGTAACACTGTCAGGCTAATTGGTAGTGGACTGCATGACTCCAGACTCAATTTAAATCCTGAAATTCCAAGACAGGAGTTTCTTTTGAACTCCCTGAGGGAGCGAGACTGAATTTTGGATGTGTTTGGGGTAGCTGACTTCAGACCCTTGCAATAAAAACACGTATGATATGATGGACATCTGATTTGTGATATGTCTCTGGGTACCTCTTGCTGTGACATAGACTGATAGTAGGCCCAGTAGGCATGCACAATGCTTCTTGTGCCAAAATCAGAACAGATACACAAGGATGGGAATGGCACTTAAGTGTGGAATAATCGAACGCAGCCTCAGGTTTTTGCCCATAGGCATGAACAAATCCATTGAAGACGCTTCCCTTCTAATTTTAGCCACAGAGACAGTGCTTTTGGATAAATTTATAACTGTTGTTGATTTCTTTTCTTACAACTTGCACGACTTGTTTAAACAGCGTTGCTGATTTGGAGTTCTTTTGCAACATCTTTGGAGGGCATTAAAGACAGGCTATGCCTGACCCCAGGGGAGTAGAGACGTGGTTTCAACAAGTCTTATTTACTCATTCTTTTTGCAACCCAAGAACAGCCATCATGTTTTTCACCTGGAGTACTAGTTTGTCCAAGGCACAACTTGTCCCCACATACTGCTTTCTGTCTTCATACCAAAGAGGAACCACAGGGGTTAAGCACAACCTTTTTCTGAAAGGCTGCCTTTGTGTTTCCTATCATTGCCCTTATTACTTCCCTGTGAGTCCTGGATATAAGAAAGAATTGTACCTCTGGAATTGAAATGTCTGTATACTTCCCTTGCAGGAGATGAGGTTAAAGATAACATGATGTTAATTGCCTGTTGCTGTAATGTGCTCTGTAATGTCCTTGTGGAAAAGCCCATGTACTTCTGGAATAGAAGCAAACTACAGAAACTCGGTTCAAATTTAATTCCCTGGTCTGACACAGACTCTGTGTGCCCTTAAGCAACTTAGTTGGTCTCTTGTGTGACTCAATTTCTTATGAATGCAATTGAAATAAGGACATTTCCCTATTGTTTTTGTATGCTGGGGTGAAAGTGCATTAAGGACTGTAAAACACTCGCAGTCTACGATGGCCACACCATATAAACAGGTAAGGCAGTTTTTCTTCTTCAAAACCTGAACAAATAACCTGGTCAGAGAAGACTGGGTTATCTATGAGGTATTTCAACTCTCGCTGAGCTTGCCTGTGCCAGCATGCTGTACTGCCTTCTGTGTCACTGGTAATCAACATTTCTCTTCTGGAAAGGATTCATTGAAGGAGCACTGTTTACTCCATCTCAGACAATGCAAGTTGGCTAAAATCTCTGGGAATGCTCATCACAGGCAGTAAGCTTTGAGGTGATGCTAACACCTCATCATGGGCTGCTACCCAGAGTATTCTGCTGGTGCTGTGGCAGCTACTGGAGATGGTCAGGGCTTCTCTTCTGTCCTGCATCAACCCACAGTAGTTCATTGCACACAGCATCTCGCATCAGATCTGTCCCGTTAAATCAGTGGAATTATTTAAATAAATTACTTTTATTAATTTATTATATGAAAAATTTTAGAGCAAATTCCTTTGATGTGTGATATCCTAATCACACCCGCAGGGCATTAGCAGGCACAAGGCACATCTGAGTGTCTCTAATTCCCTAGTGGTGTGATTATATCTCATAATATTCACAACCCCCTGGAGCTTCTTTACTGGTATAAATAAATCAATTATTTAAGTCAAATACTTTGATCATTAGAAGCTGCCAGTGAGTGCTCAAATGCCTGAGCTGTGCAAGTCACCGGGAATGATCTTGCCTCTCAAAATGCTGAGCAGCCGAGCTGAGTGCTACCAGCACTTCATTTCAATCTGCTTTATAAATTAGATTAGAAGTCAGTTCCCAATACTTCATCCTGGATAGCAAGGAAGGGAGAACTTTACAGGGGTGGAATTATGAGATATTGCTGCCAGCAGATCCTTTTATCATTTAACACTGCTGTCATAGGTTAAATATGAGCTACTGTTCATATTAACTAATAGCTATTATACAGAAAACTGACACAGGGATTCCGGCTAATGCACCATGAACCTGATTCACACACACTGCATCATATTAACTATTATTTGCACATATGGATGGAAAGGAGTTTTGAGTCACTTGGGATATATGGCAAATTAGCATTTTATATCATATTAATGAAGTGCTAATTGCTCCTTGCAACCTTTTTTTGTGCAAATTGAATGGGTCCTATTTGCATTGTCATGTAACTGCTGTATTACCTTGCAGCACTTTCATAATGAAGAGGCAGCACAGAGTTCATCAAGGCAAAATATTAGCAATTGTGAGATAATTAGTTATGAAACTAATAATGTTTAAAGTTGAGCAAAAATACTGCCGTTGACTTTGGTTTAGCTTGGGAATATTTTTTATTAACAGGCTTTATAGAGTATCTTTCATTTTGCATACATTAAACTGACAAGAAGACTTTATAAACACAGCTCCCTGCTCCAATATTTTCTTTTGCAGTTCTTGTTAATAAGTGTTTTGCATTTCTCCTATGAAACATAACAAAAAAGGTACTTTTTTTGTGACTTTTTTTTTTTTTTCTAAAATGAATCACAAATCTGGAAGTTTGCGAAAGTGTGGGACAGGAGACTCTCTCTGAGTATACTGAATTTACAGGTGTCTATGAGCATAACCAAACAGCAACAAAGTCTGTAAAACAATTTAAGAAATGTCAAAGATGTAACAGTTTTAAAAATTATTTGCAGAATCTTGTTAACTGTCACAGATAAAATTCTCTGCAAGAGTAAAATACGATATGTGGTATTTTCAGCCAGGTATTTGTGGGAAGTGGGAAAAGGTAGAAAAATTGAAAAGTAATTCCGTGCTAAATCAGTGATGTTTCCATGATTGCAGAGAAAGCGTGATTAATTTCTGAAGCTTCTGTGGGTAAGGCACCTGGATACAATGGTGTAAGTCTATATTGGAGGATTTAAATGCATTTGCCAAGGAAAAAAAAGAAGCTGAACTTGAGGTAGCACAGCCCCTTGCCAGTCAATTCATCCAGATTGAGGGCCTGTCTGTACCTTTTCTTTTCAGTGGAGTATTGGATACGGACAGATTGCAAGTTACAGCCAAAGGCGGTATGACAGCTTTATTGCTGCTGCATGAGCAACATTGTCTTTGATTGGGAAACAGGCCGAGGACTTGCAGAAAGGTATGTACAAATAAGCACTTTCTGATATTTGTTTTATTAAAAGAAAAACTCTTAATAGAGACTGACCAGTATTTTCATCCTCTTTTACTATTACATTGTATAATTGTAGACCTACGCATTTATCAAAATCTCAGCTTCAGAGAAAACTGAATGAAGAAACTCTGTATAATACAGCCTGTCAGAAAATATATTCTCAAGTGACTGAGAGGAGGGGAATTAGGACTTGCGTCTCAAACAGACATCCTGAATGCTCTATCCAGCTGTACAAACAATTGCACAGGACCTTGTCCCAGGTAGGGATGAAGCAATGCAGCAAGTAGAGACCTTCTTGCTGACTTAAGAGTGTTTCCAAACAAGCACAAGCAGCTCAGCATATTTTTCAGACCTGCAGCCTAGATAGGGACATTTGCAAATTGCTTTGTTTTGCCCTGTATGTGATCTTGGCTTACCTGATGTAAAAAATGTGGCTCATCTGGATTTCAGCTATATTCTGTCCACCCAGGGTCCAAACCAGAAAAACTTGATTATGGTGCTACTTGCATCTGATCCATTCTGAACCAAAGGAATAGGTGAGCTGGACAAAACTGGCTTTGTAGCAATATCTTTTTTTTTTTTTTTTTTTTCTTTGTGAAAAGCTTTCCACCCTATCTATATAAAGTTAAACTTGCTAAAGTTTCTATAGGGGAAAAAATAATAATAAAAAAAAAAAATATATATATTTCCTTAAAAGTACTTCATAGCTCTTGCTATGGCATTCTTGGAGATTTCAGTAGATGATTGTGAGAACACAAATATTATTTTATTGGTAAAGTCTGAATGCCTCAGCAAAGTCTTACCTGACATCAGGGCACTGAAGGCTGCTGTATAAAATGTGTGTCAGAGCTGAAGTTTTAATGGACTTGTTAGTTATCACAGTAAATGTGGACCCCGCAGGGAGTTGTTTATTGGATGTAAGAAGATGAGAGGAGGTCCTGGGTGTGGACAGGAGAAAAGGGAGATGTGGTAACCTCAGGAATTTTATGGGTTTATGTTAAACAAACAGCTGTGGTAACATCAGGGGTTATCAGGAGCCTGAGGAGATCCAAGAGCCAAGCTCTGGTAGAGATAGAACAGTGAGATGCACAAACATGCTTCCCTGCTGACAGGTAGGGTTGCACTGTTATATTCCCTGGCTAGTCGAAATGGGTCCAGGAGAGGGGTCAAGCAGAAAAGGGAACTGTTGGTAAATGAGGAAGGCTGCTTCTTGCTTCACAAGCCACTTCCTGTGTTACAGGCTCATCTATTCTCCAGCCATTGCTGACAGGAGTCCTTGCTGAGCTTTGGAGACTGACACTGGGCTGTGGGGTTTTTAATCTCTAGTTAGGAGCATAGCTTAAGCTGGTGGCTACCAGAAGTCAGTGGTGGGCAACACAGTGTTTGGTGAGAAATCAGCTCCACAACCATTTTCTGCAGTTACTTCACCTGTAGGAAAAACTACCCTAGATTTCCTTGACTGGCACAGTTTTTTTTTTTTTTCTTTTTTTCTTTGTTCCCCAGAAAAAATGGGGCTCTGAGTGAAAATGAGGCTCAAAGCAAAGCCAACAATTGCGTGCCAAGCAGGGAACAGCAAATGGGGCTTGGGGACACCTTGTTGTGATGGCATGAAGGAAATCTCATTTCTGCTGCTGAGATACGTATCTCTTTGTCTTTAAAAAAAAAAAAAAAAAAGGGGGTGGGGGCTGGGGGGTTGGAAGGAACACTTCCTTCTACGGGCTGATGAGTAAGAAGCTTTTCAGACACCTAAAATGAGTAATGTGAAAAATAGTTTGGAGTCCAAAGCAAAGTTTGTGTGACCTCGGAGGGGGGGGAGAGGGAGGAGAAGGCAAGAGAGAGTCTTTAAGGGAATGAGAAGAATCCAAAAATATTGATTTCAATTTGTCATGGGAGAGAGCAGGAGAAACAAGCCATTGGAACAAGTTCTTGAAACTTCCCACTAGCTGGAATGTCTTACAGCAGAATGAAAACAAACAATCCTATAAGGTTTGCCTTCCCAGAAAAGATTAAGTCCAGTCCCTCTAGCCTTGCTCACTGGCAGCATCTGGTCCTGTTTGAAAAAGCAAAGAATGCAGAATTTTGAGAGCATTGGTCTGGTATTGGTGGTTTGTGGGGGGGGGGGGGGGGGGGGGGAAGGGAAAAAACTATGCAGGACATCTTACTCCTCCAGTAGAAGAAATGGGGAGAAACAGAAAAAGGGGAAGAAGTGAGGAGAAACCATCAGCAGCACCCTGAGGGGTCCTTGGGTCCTTGCTCAGGCAGCCTCTCTGCCTTTCCCCAGACATGGAGTCCTCGTTGCAGATTTCCCAGTGGGTCCTGAGCATGTGAATGTGATGGAGGTGAAGGAGCTGTATTTTGAGCTCTTGTGTATTTTGGATGATTCAGATCACTGTCTCATGAAATCGGGCTCCTGGTTTAGGAGCCCAAATAAATCCTCCCTGAAATAGCCAAACTTTACACTGATAAAGAAGGGGACAGTGTATATGCACATGTCCGTCCCCAGCAGGCCAGGCAAGAAGGAAGCTTTCATATTTGACTTGACTTTTTCCTCTTTAATACAGAGTCCAAGCAAAATCACAGTCCCTGCAACTTGGCATCTTTGAGAATAATGAAGTGTCTGAAACAGGATGGTAAATTTAAATTTGGAAATGGAAATGGATTAAAATCAATGCATCCTAAGGTGACTGGGCTATTAACATGAGATGAACTTTCTTGTGACCTATAAGCATGCAAAGATTGACACCTATACAGGATCAAAGGAGCTTATGAAAGGCTAAGGAGTACATGAGAGGAAATTGAAAATGTGTAGGTTGTCGATCTTGAGAGCGGCTTTTATTAGTTATTGTACATAATAACTATTGTGTCAGAAATGAAAGGGATTAACTCTCACCCAAGGTACTGCACCTGAGCAAATATTGTCTTGCCTGGGTGAAATTTGTGCCAACACAAAGAGGACCCGGTACGAGGCTATGTACTGCTTAAGTCTCACTTAAGTCTTCAAAATGAGGATTATGCAGGATTTTAGTGGTGAAAAATATCAGGACAAATTTCATCCCTTATATTACTGCAGTGTGTGTCTCCAGGGCTTTTGGAGTAATGTAGAGTTTCACCAGAACACATCAAAGCAGTTGGAAAGTACTTTCTCTGCAGACTGACCACTTCCCAGATTTGGGAGTTTCTCATGTCACTGAACTGAAATTCTGCAAGGCTGTTAGAGAGAAGGACAGAGAAGCTAGCTGGATGTGTGGGCTTTAACAGCTGAATGTTTTGTTCTCTGCTGTATTTTCCAATGGCTCAAATGCTTTGGTCTATGTGAGCAAGCAGGGGAACATTTTTGCTGTGGTCAGGAGTTTTTCAGAGAAATACTGTAAATATGGGACTGCAGATGATAGTTTGTTATTGGAAGTGCGAATAGAAAACATTTGAAATTTCAGAATAAAAGTAACAATCATTTTAGGCCAATGGAAGAAAATTCTCAGTCTGGAGGAAAAAGGGAATATTTTTCATGCTGAATCTGTATGTCTAGATCTGCTGTCAGCAGATGACATCCACCTTTCAATCACACTCTTGCATCTGTACCCAGTTTGCACACCTCTTGCTAAATATTTTCCTGTTTGTGGAAGAATGGTGAAATGGTTTCACAAGAACACAGACCATTTGCTTGACAGCCGTTCCCATATTTAATTGTCTGTTTTCAGTGATAAGGTGTGCCTATGTAATCTGGACTCTAACCACCAGAGGGGAAAGAAATGGGAAACAATCTTGTGTACATGGCATTTTCAAAAAAGCCTGTCTTAGTTTTTTTGGGGGAATCCTGTATTTATTATAACTGCCCTTCCTCTTGCCATGACGCAGGGAGGGGGAAGAAATGGGGAACCTCATAGGGTATTTCTGAAAAGCCCCTTCTTTGTGTTTGTCCTTTTCAAGAAACTGTGAGGATACCTTGTAGAAATGTCTATTTTTTTCCATGTATATTCCAAGACATTAATATCAGTAGAGGGGAGTGAGAAGCTTGGGGGCACTGTCATATAAAACTGTTACTTCTGAGAGGATGTTTGAAACTGCTTTGAAAATATCAATGTTTCTGAGGAGTTTGTGGTACCTACTACCCTCCTAATACTTTCCACATCATAAAACTACTTCCCTTTGCTATAAAGCTAGAACAGAGCACTGAGTCCTTGCTCTGTGGCTGGCATACTAGAGTTATTGGCTAGTTTGAGGAATCATTTTACAGTTTCTTTCTCCTGGATTTTCTTCTGAAATCATTTGTAATCCAAATGTGTTCTGATCTGCTTTTATTAGATTCATTTGCCCTGTACTCCCTTCTTCCCCTTCCCATATTTAATTTAGACTTGCACATGGAACTGTAAGCATGGTATTTTTATGTCTTGCATTAATATAGTGGCTATGTTCTGATCTGAAGGTGATAAGTGATCTGAGGAAGCCAGATCAGTTTTGACTTGGGTTAAAAAAATAAGGAAAGATCTGTGATTATTGGCTTGTATGGTTCCCTACTTTCCTCGCAATCTAGAGTAGAGCAGCAGAGCAAAGATTGTTCTTCTTGGTGAAAGGAAATCTAATTTACTATGTATAAATAATATTATAATCAGCCTGTTTGTGGGTAGTGACAATTGTATGAAGTTTGTTGGCTGATAAAATTGATCCCATCCTAGTCCTTCCTATGTGTCTTGGGATACTGTGTTTCTTGTATTGCCCTTGCCAGTATCTAGTGATCCCAGAATTTCTTACATGGCCTTTGCTGGAAAAATTGTTGGCTTGTTGTTTGCTCCTTTTGAATAGCTGGTAATCAGTAACAACAGTATTTTAGAAATGAGAGTGATTTGCATTCCAGGAGCCCTGTATGCTTCTCTGATATATGAGGAGGCCATAGGGTGGTGATGGGCTGCCTTACCCTTCGTTTAATATTTGCCTGGTGTAGGAGCACTACAAATCAGTTCATTGTCCTC